AGTTCTACTCTAGGCATGGTCAAGAGTGCAAGGTTTCACTACCCTCAGCTCCAAATCAAGGGACACAATATCTTATTAGGAGGTCAGGTCACTAGCATTTTTCATCTCCAACTTTGAGTTACAGTTGGAATTCTCACCTAATAGTAATAGTAGAAATACAGACTGTGACTACAGCAAATAAGAAGCTGATAGTTCTTCTTTATTAAAGTCAGTAAGTTAGGTCATCGTGTTCACCACAGGGAACCATGGAAAGATACATCAAAAATAGTTCCTACTGGGTTAAAAAGACATTCTAATAGTGGCCTTAAATGATACTTCTTACTCATTTAATTGGATCATTCTATTCAGCAATTCATTCCTGATAGTATTCTTCAAAGATAACAAAACAATTAGCAATTGACCCAAAAATCTGAATGTGATACTAAAATGACACAGACAACAGAGATTAAAAAACAGCCTTGAAAACAGTTATCTTAGACTTGTGGCAGTGGATCATAATCAAATAAAAGACATCAACACACAGAAATTATGGTTAAAAACACAGAAATTCTGGAATTTAACTGTACAATAACTGAAGTGAAAAATTTACTAGACAAACAAATAATACATTTGAACTTGCAGAAGAATTCATGAATCTAAAGATGGGTCATGGGAAATATATAATGCAAAGAAAACAGAAAAAAAAGAAAGAAAAATGAAAAGATCCTCAGAGGAACATGGGACATCATTAAACATACCAATTAGAAAGAAACAAGGTGAGAAAGCAGCAGGAAAAAAATGTTCAAGTAAATAATGGCTGTAAATTCTCAAAATTTGATAAAAAAATAATCCAAATATTTAAGAAGCTCAACGAACTCCAAATAGGAAATACACAAAGAGAGCTACACCTTGAAATATCATAATAAAAATACCAAGAAACAAAAGTAAAATCTTGAAAGCAGCAAGAGAAGGATGGTTCATCATGTAAAAGGACATCCCCATAAAATTAACATTGATTTCTCATTAGAAATAATGAGGGACAGAAAGCAGTTGGATGACATTCAAAGTGCCAAAACAAAAACTATAATGCATGATTTTGTACCCAGAAAACTATCTTTAAAAAATGAAGGAAACTCTGCCACTCTGAGGCCCAGTTTCCTCATGGCCTCTAGACTCTACTCCTCAGAACAAGAGCTGAAGGTGCACACTTCAGCTATGCACCTAGTACGAAGGTGCATACTATTACTTCCTGGGGTAATAGTATTTTGGCCATACAGAGTAATCATAGCACCCAGGCCTGAGTTGAAGTGGCACACTACCCCCACCCCAGGTATGAGTTTCTTGGCCACACCAAGCAGGCACACATCCCTGGGCTAAGATGATATGGCTCCCTATGTTCTAGGGACATGGAAAAGTAGCTGAGATGAGACATCTTGCCCTGTAAGCCAAACAACTTTAGTATCCAATATCCTAAGAACTCAACTAACTCTCTAAAGACTGAGATGCTGAGACATTATCCTTACTGGAGAATGGGGTCATCACTTGGCTGCTCACTGAGCCATAAAACCCAAGAGATAATTGTGCTTTGTTGTCTCAGTTACTCTTCTCTCACTGCTGGGACAAAATACCCAACACCCAAAATGAAGGAAGGAAAGGTTTACTTAGTTCAGTCACTGGAAGTTTCAGTCTGTACTCAGCTGGCTCCAAGGCAGGTTGGTACATGGCAGAGAACAACCTTTCATGGTGGTGGCAAAGAGCAGAGAGCAAAGGGAGGGGCAGCAGCTGCAGAAGCTAGCTAGCCTCATTCCCCTCCTTACACTGTAATGCAGATTAACCACCCCCAGGGCCAGGGTGTAGCACTCACATCTGTAATCCCAGCATTGGATCAAGAATCAGTCACAAACTCCAGAACCCACCTGATGACTGCATGAGGCTTTGGGAGTACAACTAGATACAAATCATAACATTTGTCATTCAGGAATCCTTGCTAGCACTGCACATAGCATTACTGTCTATGTCTCACTATCTAAAAGACCAGAGTTATTCCTATGTAGTGGTGCATCCCCAAGGACCTTAAGAAGTTTCACAGAGACCTTACTACTATATTTACTAGGAATGAGTCACCAGGACCTCCCAACCATGCCAGTAAGTCTCATCTGCAGGTGAATATTTTTCACTATGACAGCCACTCTACAACATTTGTAGCCATTAAGTTTGACTGTGTCAACTTAACTGGCTTTGAGGTGCCCGAGGGAGAATGCAGCACATTTCTGGGCATATGAAGGTGGCAATGTAGGTACAATATATCTATATCTGGTCCCCAGCTCCTTGCTCTCTGGCATTGTTTCCCTGCTCTGCTTCCCAGATACCATAAATGAAGCAGCTTTGCTTCAACACAGCTTTCTCAGAAGTTTCTGCCTTAAAGCAAGCTGACCATGGACTGAAACCACAAGTCTTGTGAGCCACAAAACATCTCCCTCTTTCAGTTGTGGCTATCAAGTATTTTGTCCCAGAGAGGAGATAGTGATTAATACAGTTACATTACTCACTTTCAAAATTCATTATAAGTTTAAATATTGAGAGAATTTTGGTATAATATAAAGAGAAAAAGAGAGTTTAATGAAACAGAATTAATAGCACAAAATATATACATATATGAATATATGACAAAACACCTAAACTCATTCATATTCAAAAATTAAATTGAAATGGACCAGACTTGAAACAGATAAACCTTTGAAAACTTGAAAGAAAACATGATAAAATATTTGTGACTTTAGGTTAAACAACAATTTCTTAGAATCAAAATAAAACATATTGTTATGGTTTGCGTCTAGTTGTGCCCCCAAAGCTTCATGCAGTCATGGAGCAGCTTCTGGAGTTGGTGATTGATTATTGTGGGTGTGGGTGCTGCACACATCCTGGGGCAGGTAAATGGTGAAAGGAAGGAGAGAGAGGCTAGCTAGTTGCCAGAGCTGCTGGCACTCCCTTTGTTCTATTTTTTGGCACTGCCATGAATGGTTGCTTTCTGCCAAGCATCAGTCTGCCTTGTAACCAGCTGAGTATGGACTGAAACCTCCACTGACTGAGCTAAATAAGCCTTTCATTCCTTTATTTTGGGTGCTGGGTATTCTGCCCCAGCAACAAGAAAAGAGTAACTAAGACATATATGAACCATAGAAAGAAGTTTGATAAATTAAGCTCACCAGAAACATCTGCTCATTGAAAGATACTGCTAAGGTCTGTCTCCCTAGGGTTCATGTGTGGGGAGCTGATAGGAAATTGTTAAAATCACTAAGCCCACAGCCCTTGGAACAGATTCATGTAGTTCCAGTGAGACCCCACCAGAGAAAGAGGTTATTATTTTCAAAAATTATGCCTAGCCCCTCCCCACCTTCTGGCTTCCTGTCTATGTGATCGTTCCCTTGCACACATGCTCCCACCATCATGCCATTTGATCTGATGTGATAGCAGAGACAGAGCGCCTTCACCAGAATCAACACAATGCTGTCTGAATTCTCACACTCCAAAACTGAACTAAAGAAAACTCTTTTCAGCTGGGAATGGTGTTGCATGTCTATGGTCTCAACACTTGGAAAGCTGAGGCAGGAATATATCTGGAACTATAAGACTGGCCTGGGCTACACAATGAGTTCAAGGTCAGCCTGAACTATATAACAAAACCCTGTCTCAGAAAAACTAAACAACCATACAGACAAACCTCTTTTCTTTATACCCATCTCAGATATTTTGCTATAGCAATGGAAAACATTAACACATATATTGTTAAGAAAATAAAGGACAAGCCACAGACTGGTGGAAAATATATGCCATATATATAACATAAAAGAATTGTACAGTACAATTCAATAATGACAGAGAATCTCACAATAAATATGAGCAAGAGGCATTTCACCAATGAAGTACATAAGTGAACAAAAGACATACAAAAAGATGTGCAATCTCACTATTGTTAGTGAAATAACACCATGATAAGGTACCGCTACAAACCCAAGGCTAACAACAAACATTAGCAAGGATATGGAGCAAAGGCAACTCTCATGTGTTGCTAGTGTGGTTTCACAATGTTATAACTATTATGAAAAATACTTATAACTGGTATGCCAGCAGCTCCTGTTGCTTCCAAAACAAAGTCCCTATTCAGTGCATCTGTTATGGTATAAGTATTTGTGTCCCTCCAAAACTTGTATGGTCAAATCCTAATTCATAAGGTGATGACACTAAGAGTTGGGGCCTCTGAGAGATGATAGGGTGCGATAATTCTAGGATTAGTGCCCTAATAAAGAAGTCCAATGGAGGGGCTGGGGAGATGGCTTGGTGGAATAAGCGTTTCCCTGGCAAGTGCAAGGCCTGAGTTCAATCCCTGGTTCTGAGAAAAAAAAAAAAAAGATCCAATGGAATTTATTTGCACCTGGGCTTAGGTGTCACCAGGAGAGGACTCAACAAGAAGAGGCCATTTACAAGTCAGGAAACTGACCCTCACCGTACCCAAATCTGCTGGTACCTTGATCCTGGATTTCCCATCCAGCACTATGAGAAAAGAGTGCCAGCTGTTTAGAAGCTGTCCAGCTTATGGTATTAGTTATGGGAGGTTACACTAAGAACCCCATTCCTCTCACACTCCATGACAATCCTCATCTCCCACCCCTTCTCATCCATGACCCTGCAGAGGCTTTGTTTCCATCGCTGCCTCTTTTGCATCACTTTCCACGTCTTCTTTTCTCACTTTTCAGCCAATCCAAACACTACATTTCTTATGGAACTCATCAAAAGGTACTTTCTTCCTCCACTTCCTCTGAACTCTTCTGACAATTCCAACTGTGTCATTGAAGTAGCACTGTGTCTGAAACCTGCTATAGGGTGTGCATCTGGGTGTCAAAGTGTAGCTACTACAATTTATTCCCTTATTGTGTCAACACAGCTTTCAGAATAAGGACACAAGTATCCTGTGGGAACTCTCACTTTGTATGACCTATAAGTCAGTGTATAAAAATTCATACCTGTCTTTCAGCATTAGGCGGTGTGATGGACAATTCATCATTTCTATCAATATCTGCAAAATCATCCTCTTCCTTTGCAAGAGGGGCCAGCCAAATCTCATCAGGCCTCATGTCTGAGGTCTTCCATGCAGAGTCTAGTACACCAAACTTGTCCTGGGGCTGTGATCCCTCTTTCATCGCTGTGACCTGAAGAATAACTTCTTTGCTATCTGCAGCTGAGCAACTTGTCATCTCTTTTTGCTTGGATAACTTTTGTCTCCTGAACCGCTTGCAACAGGAATGCTGAAGAGTGTGAATCACAAATGAAAAGGCCCGGCGAAACCGATCCAGTGCTAACTGGACTTTGGTTTTCTTGACCTCTCCTAGGGTTTCATTTCTCTCCTCGTTGCTGAAGGAATTGAGCAGTAAAGCAATGAAGAGGTTGAGCACCTATGGATGAGATGGGTAACAGGAGAATGGAAATTATAGCAAAGGGCAAATGCAGGGAGGGTGTTTTCACAACGGTTTTTTCCCAGTACTCAAAATCGAGTCAACTGATAATTCTATGCTAGTTATCGCCTAAGAAAATTTATCTATAAAACAAAACAACTGAGGAAGAAAAAAGATGATGGCTAGGGAGATGGCTCACTAGAATACGCGCTTGCCTGGCAAATGCAAGGGCTTGAGTTCAATCCCCAGTTCCACCAAATGAAACAAAACAAAACAAAAAACATTTACAGGAAAAGGAATGTTGTGGGACTGTCTTGCTTCAAGGTTGTATATGATTAGATTTTTGGACTTATGTGTAAACATAAGAATTATATAATTTGTTATCCTACTTTTAAAATATATTCTAATTTTAAATGTTTTTTCATTATATTCTGTAGGGACTTAAAGTTCAACATATCAATACTTGATGAAAAATACCTGTTCCACGTTATGCCTAAGATGTTTGATATTCAGATAGATAGTGAGGTTAAACTTAACAGCCTAGATGTATGGTAATAACAATAAGCTTCTCTTCTGGAGGGTTAACAACCTAAGTTTGCAGACCAAAATTAAAGAAAAAGGAGGGCCACAAGGAAAGCCAACATTTTGGCCCTGGTCTTCCAAAGTAGGTTAAGACTAAGGACATATGAGAACTTGTACTATAACGTCATGTAACTCGGAAGTGTCCCAAATTTTCTGATCAAGGAGATTATGGGGCCAAAGAGGAAAGTGATCGATGATGTAGAGTGTGCATAAGGAGAGTCGCATGGAGAGAAAACATTCTCTCAGGCTTTCAAAGAGAGCACACTGGCCAAACAATGGCTGTGACTCATCCACATGGCTGACACTGACAAAGGATCTATAATCTGAGGTACAGGATCTTAGCATAAATTTCACTGACCTTATCAGACCCAAAAGCTACAACTCTTGTTGCATAGGTCCTGCTTTACCTTGGTTTTTAACCATCCAGGAGAAAAGTATAAATACGAAATATAAGAAGTAAAGCCATGCTGTTATGTTGAGCTATAGGGGACCCAGGTCAACAATTTCTGACATTGCCAGTGAAGTGGAAGACCCAATACTATTATGGACTACTGGACTCTTTTAGAATATTTTGCTGAGTTAACACACCTATGATATTCAAATAATAGAACAAAAAAAGGGGATACAGATGAATGTCCATTTTGTATCTGTGTATTCAAAATGGTTAGGATAGATGTATAGTTGTATTCTCTTAATGAATAGAGGGATTTGTTCTAATGATGTTTGTAAATAGGATATCATGTCCGCATCTTGTACAGCAATTAACCACTAGGAAGAATATATGCAATGTGCTCATTATTGAAACTGTCCTACCAGTTTGGTTTGAAACTATCTCATTGCTATTTGTTTCTCAATAAAATTATGGAAAAAAAAGAAAAAAGATGGTAAGACAAAAGAAGACCTGAATTTAAAGGTTACAAACAGCCACATCTAGTTTATGTGAATATAAACAAGTACCTGTGGAGCCCAGCAAAGATAAAAGAGAATGGAGTACTCATTGTATGGCAAAGCCCAAAGTGTACATAGCCTGGGTATCCAACAAGGACATGGTTCTGATGTCCAAGGCCCCTGTGCAGACCTCTGCTGTGTGTACAATGTGAGAGATAATGTAATACATATGGTCCTTGCAGGTCCAGTTGCTCTAACCTCAGTGAGGTATCAGGGTGGAGGCAAAGGGGTTTGACCCAAGTATGTGCTTTTACTTTGAAGCACATATCGCTTTTTTAAACAAATTAATTTTACTGGTACAGTTTAGATATAGGCAATGATCACGTTCATCACAGGAAAGAACACCTATACATGTACAAATTCCTGAGTCCCTTTAACCTCCTTCCCCTTTTATTTACAAAAGCTTTATATCCATTTTTCCCTTCTATTACCCAGTTTTTCTTCCCCCTTTCCCCTTCCTTTCTTTCCCCCTTTCTCCCTTGTTCCCTTCCATTTGATCATTTTTTCCCATTTCACAATATCTATTAAACATATATCACTTTTAATTCAGATTATCCCAGTTATATGTTATATCTAGATGTCCCCTAAGAGTCTTATGTGCACATAGGTGGAGCTTTTGGAAGATGATAGGATTTGGGGGCTTTATAAGTGACTTACTGTTAGGAGCTAGGGTCTAGAAGGAGAGGCAAGTCACCAGGGCTATGACCTGGAAGAGTAAATCTTGGTCTGTCTGTCTGTCTCCCTCTCTTATTCCTTCCAAGTCATCATGAAGTGAGCAGCCTTGGGGCCCACCGACCTTGGACTAAAATCTCTAAAGGCTGTGAGCTAATAAAACCTCTCCTCCTTACATTTCCTGTGGCAAGTGTTGTGTCTCAGTGATGAGAAAAGTGACCAACATAATCACAGTAGCTTATTTATTCATTTAGTATTTAGTGCAAGGTCTACAGGGTCTCACTAAACAGATTGGACTTGTAGTGATCCTCCTGTTTTTAGTCTCCCAAGTGCTGGGATTACAGGCATGCATCACCACACGCAGTCTCAATCACGTCTCACAACACCCCAGAAGCAGGGCTGGCATGGCACGCCAGGGAATGAATCCCAGTCCCTGCACCTGCTCGTGCTTTAGTCTATTGAGCTATCTGTCTGACCCTTCATTTTTTACTTTAAAGAGAAAGAGAAAAAAATTAAAACAAGATAATAGGAGAGGAACAATAGTTAGTACATTGCATGCTGTTATCTCCCAAGTAATTAGTCAGAGTACAAGATATGGGCATGAAAAACTGCCCAAACAATATTAGCTCAAACCCTTCTTTTCAATGAACTAAGACAAACCACTAGTATAACTACCTTAGCTATCTTGTAAGATATAT